TAAACCATGTCATGTTTTTTTATAGACATGTCATAATTTTTCCATGATAAGTCATAGTTTTGAGCCAATAAAATTAAAACAAATAATCATTCTAACTAATTGTACTTCTCTTTTAATAGGAAGGGGATTAGTTTGCGACTGAGATCAATATAATTGAAAAGAAACTAAAAACATTGTAAAAGCCTAATTCTTTATTAGATGGTAAAATAGCAAAAAGCACATTCATAATTGATTTTTCAATGTGAACTCTTGTTCAAAAGAACATAAAAAGCAAACAAATGAAAACAGGAGATGATGGAATTAATATTAATAGTCTCGTTCTAATTTCCTTTGGTTCGCTTGTTTAATTTGCAGTTGCACTAAGCTTGGAACATATGAAAAGCACACAAGTGGGAAACAATGTCTGCGTTTTGTAAATCCCCCGAAAAAAATTGTAGCTTCTTTGATATTCACAGATTAATTTGAAGTATCCATGTTCTCCAATGATGTAAGCTTTATCATATGACATGTAACTGTACCGGAAAACCACACCGGTTTTCTTTTCCTCGTCAATGAAGAAGTTCCCAACATCAAAGCAATTGCTAAAGTAACTCGGAAAACCATGTAGCAGTGTCATATCCACTTTCAAAAAAAGATTCCATGATACCGCATTGGGCTCGATCGTAGTCGGGATCCAAATCTCTATTATGTCAAGTTTCTGCCAGTATCGATATAACACCGCGAGTTGTTCTTCTCTAACACAAAATAAAGTCACAGTCACTTTCTCATAAGAGTGAAACGGTAGAGGAAGACGCGGTCCAAAACTCTCTCTTCTATAATCAAAACATAGTAAAAAAGTTTCAGTCGTTCTTGTATCATCTTGAGCCAAAAAGTAAGTATTTCCTTTCAAAGACACAATGCCACGTTTATGAGAATATAAATCCCAATCAGAAGTGACATCAAGAACATTCCATGAATAAGATTTAAGATGGTAGATTTCGTAGCTTAAACATCTATTGTAGTGATCAATATCAACCAAAACCCTTAAGATTTTGTGGTTACGGTTGTTGTCATATCCGAGAGCATACATGTAGTCCTTGTGGTTGCTTCTTGGTTGGATCCATCTCGTTTGCCCCAAATAAGTATTCCATACCAAAAGCCTCAAGTCGTGCTCGACGTAGCATAGCAATAAGCCGTCGCAATAAAAGATGTTTCGTATATCGAATTGATTACTGGCTTTATAGATGGACCAACCAAGTCTCCGTATTCATCCTTGTGTATTCCTTGAAGATTGAATCTCAAGGAACAAACCCTAGAACACATCACCATGAGCCCTATAAACGCTTGCTTTGATTCTACTACTTGTTTAGCAAAAATCTTGTTTTTGGATAGAGCGTTCCACTTTTTGCAAGTAGTTCTTAGAGATGTAATTGGAACCTTAGTGAGAATCTTCGCCTCTACCAAATCCTCCGGAAGATCAGACATTCTAGTCATTCTTCAAAATTTCGAAAACTCAAGGCTGCAATGCCAATAGGGTTTCTTCCGCTACTCATATAGATTAGCCGACTCACAAATGTGGCTTTATCGATATAAACCAAATTTTGGTTTAGGTTTGGTACGGTGTACAATCACACCGATAAAGGTTTTCCTTTTTTCTTCAAATTAATCATATTGATATTCCTCTTGCTATTTTATTATTGTCACATGTGCATTAAATAATAAATATACTCAAACAAAAAGTTCCAATATCCAGCCATAAAATGAAAGATTTTGGTTTGGTAGAGATTAATTAGTCACTACCGAGTCAGATTTTGGTCCGATTATGATATGTTAGTAAGATAATTCGGGTATTTTAATTTCTTTCTTAGAAGATTTGGTTGTTTGTTTGTTTTATTATTATCGAGTCATGGTAAACCATCATATACCTCTGCCATACAAAAGAAAGGTGATTCGTTTTTTTTAATTAGAACTTGATAAGAAAAAAGTAAGAATATTCCTATAAAACATTCTTTGCCATACAAGAATACTGATGTTAGGTTCAATGACCCTAATCCCTACATTATGAATGAACTAGTTTCGTTCGTACGAACATTTTGGGG